CGGTCGTTGTGGTGATGGCGAAGTGCATGTGGCGGGCGTTCGATTCGGCGGCGGCGAGTGATGATGCCAATGATCAGTTCGATGGAAGAGAGTAAGTGTACGAGTAAACTGCGTGCAAGTACTTCAGTGATGCTAATAGACTCAAACCATTAGAGAGAAAGAAAGAATAAGTTTCAAACTGTCTAATGTCTGGGTAAAAGTGTTCTTTAGCACAAGTCAGTGTGTGCACTTGCTTGCTCCTGTTGATGTGCCTGGTGATGGGACAAGTGCAGCAAACTAGTGGCCATCAGCATCATCACTTACTGACTGCATCTTACATCTCCATTTCATTTGCTGCCTGTTTACATTCTCGTCCTCCAGTTCTGATGCTGCCAGTGCTGGTGGCAGTAATTCAAGTATACAACTCTCAAGTAAGTGCTCCACTTGCTCCACTCAACCGCCTCCCCTTGCCCCCGAATGCACTGGGAGCCTGGACAGCTGAAGCTGATGAACGATCACCACCGGCACAAGTGGCAGCACAAATAGTGTGCGCCAGTGCAAAATGCTAACGTATAAATCAGCAGACAGTGCAAGTAAATAGACCTAACCGCACGTCATTCTGCCCAGATTCTCGCCCTACAACTGTTGTGCAATCGATTGGTCCTACTGGACAGCGACAAAGCTAACAAAGTGCACTTCCCAGGCAAGAATTGCTAGACTACGACCTGTGAGAAAAATAGGAAGCACCTTTTATAAAAAGGAAAAATGAACAGAAAGACTCACAAACAAAAACAATGAATTCACAACAAACATATTCAGACTATTGATTAGGCGTTCGCCCTACTTTTCCACTAACTTTTGCAGTGTGCAACTTTTCTCTAAACTACCAAACCACTGTAAAGTTATGTTCAACAGTGGCGAGCACTACTAGAGAAACAATTTTCTGACTAAAACGAGGCGGCAAAAAAGAGAAAGAGAGACAACAAATGGTAGAGAATATAACCACTTGAGCAATCGATCTCCTTCACCCCGAATTCAGTACTCTCATCTCAGGCCATTGGTATTTATGTAAAATCGAGCTCGGGTAATTTATCGAGAACTGCTGACAGTTTTCAGCCATTGACGGCAACATAGTACACACACCTCAGTGACAGGCGCCTGAAGGGCGTCTCAAGTCGCCAGTTAATGGCAGCTCCGGTAATTTGTGCACATTACTGATCTCTCTTGAGGAGAATGAGTGAGAGGGGCAAAGCGAAAATCAATTAGGCCATTAGGAGAAAGGGAAAGAGAGCATATGCCGTGTTCACTCACTCACTCCCTTCCATCACCCCCGCTGACAGACGCTGGTCGGCACTTTCCCGTTGGAGAACTGTTGGTAGTCATAGTGCGGCAAATATGTAAACACCAGTGCCATTTTCGCAATGGTACATTCGCTGCCACCACCACCAGTTGGATATGCCAAGTGCACGATCAGTGCTCAGTCCAACACTCAACTCTTTCCAATGGCTGAAAAGTAGGACAAGAGTGTGCTGAGTGGCGGAAGAGCCTTTTCTTGCTTGTATCAACAAATTGCGGGCTCGTTGTTGAACATATTGCTAAGTTTAATTTCTGAGAGAATCCATACAGAAGAGCAACTCTGTTTGCTTACTATACGGGGCCGAATATATGCGCAAACTTTTGCCTATTGATTATTCCGCCAAATCGAAGTGAAATGTACAGTGACTCTTGTAGTGTATCTTTTGACAGAAAAGTCGGATTGACGCGAAGGAAGATGCTGTTCATGTCCTCGTTGTAGTCGGCGAGTGGCGCAATGTCAGCAATATCTAGAACTCTATCCTGTCGATTTCCGAAAAAGGTTAAATGTGAAATTTTGACTTGCTCCTCGTCTGACGATAAGTAAACAGAACCGATCAACCGGCGAAAAAGATGACCGAATGCATAAAGTAGAGCGGTAGAGAAGCTGGTAACGCACAGAATGCCCACCATTTCTTTGAAGGGAAGTGCATCTGAAACGATAAATTGTCAATGCAAAAGTTAGTTTAAAAAATTTAAAACGAAAAGCAATAAATTCACCTAAAGTGTAGAGAACGATGGCATTTGGTGCCGAAATGAGAGTGATCAATGTAAGGTAGAGTTTAGAGCGAGAAAACACTCTCGCGTGGACTATAAAGGGAAAACGATAAACAGTCTGCCATTCGGTGGAATCGACGCTGGCCTTGGACTGCTTCACCATGTCAAAGGTACGGCCATAAGCAGTGCTAATTGATCGATTGCTGATCATCGGAAGAAAACCGGGAGATGAAGCTTGTAAACAACATGAAAAAGATGAAATAAGTTGCGGTGCCCTGAAAAGGCTGTAAGCACCTCTAGACTGAAAATGGAAAATATAAATTATTAATACTTTTATCTAAATAGTAAAACACTTACATTGCAAAACGTTGAGGCAATAATCTTAGGTAACCGGTTCATTTTGAAAAGATCTTGAAAAGAAAAAGAATCAAAACAAAGTTGTCAGCTGATTTTTGTCAAACGCACGCAGCGTTACTTGCGCCATCTTCAGCCGTGTTGGACGACTCAATTTTTTTCTGATTTTTTTTCGAGGAAGATTCGTTTTATCAGCTGATAATTGCGTAAGAATTTGTCGTCATGAAAAGTTGTCCAATCAATCAATACCGGAAAAGTCGTTTTCCTTGGCCAAGTCCAAGTTTTTCTCTTTCGGTGCCTTCGTGAGAGTGCATTTATTACTGACACAATCTGGCAAGATGACCAGGCGATTTAGTCGCAAAATGGGTTTTTTCTTGGCCAAATCCGTACAACCTAAACTAATTGAGTTCAGGTGACACTTAAGTGTTAGCCAAGTTAACAAGGCTTATGGAAAAACGTTTTCGCTTTCGTTTCGATCGTAGCCAGTCGATCACACAGTCGCAGCTCGACACTGAGTCCTCTCTTGGTCCAGGTACTTGCTCATTTTTTATCAACTTGTTTGTTTACTACTGTTGTCTTTGCAAATTACCAGATCGAAGTCCAAGTAATCCACCCACACCGTCGCCAACAAACACTCCCGGCGTTCATGTTCTTTCAAATGGCGAGGTAAAGGAGCTGGAGTTCAGAGAGCTGGTCGATGAAATGACTCGTCCCAAAGTCGACCTTTCATTATCATCAGCGACTGCCGCCCCCACCACTGCCCGAGCTGATACGCCCACTGAAGTCAGCATCGGCCCATTGGGCGACTCGTACAGCAACTTTGAGGATTTTCGCAGTCGACGATCTTTTCGCCGTACTCTTCAGGGCGACGAGGACACTGAAGTGAAGAGGCCACTGTTGCTGCATCCGCAGCACGAGGCTTCCTCAGTCCAAAGACCAGCGCACTTTGCCACCCCACTGGACAGCCATTCGACGGCACCACCACCACCACCGCCACCACTATCATCATTTACTCTGCCGCCTGGAGCACCTTCCTCATCACATGCTCGACCGCCCCTTCAGCGTATTCCCACCATTGGCCTCGACCGTACGTATGCTTTCCCGTTTCTTGAGTCTGCAATTTCCAAGCTCTGCTGGTAATAGACACACGCTGGTTTTGTCTGGCCTTAAACACTTGCAAATAAGCGCGAATAATTGCCATATTGCCACTGGTGATGATGGTGATGGTGATGGTGCATTGGCGCCTGGCACCACTGCCTAGTATTACTTTTCGTCTGACTTGTGCACTTCTGCCGTTCCAGTGTGGCTTGTTGTGATTTATCACTTTCACTGTTTACTTTACCCCGACCGCGCGACTGTACGCGATTCGACGTCTCAGTGAGATCTGTTCTCGTCCGTTCATCCAATTGCTGTGCGTCCTCGCTGCTGATTGCTGCTGCTGGCCCGCTGCCTTCTTCAGCTCTTCAGCTGCAAAGCTGGGCTGTGTGTGTGTGTGTTTGAAGCGTCAATGACAATAGAATATGATGGCAAAGAATGAGATGCCGGATGGTGGCAGCAACAGCAGTTCGACGGCTGGCTCTCCGAATACCACGGACAGCACAGTCTGTGTTCGATGAAATTATGCTCATCAGTGCAATCACCAAAATCTGTGTTGAATCTGCCAAGCAGAGTTCTGTATTGAATATGAATCACTTTTTCTACTCGATTTGGTGAATGACCTCCTGCCAGTTGAGGCAGCAGCAGCAACCGAACAGATGTGCTCGTGAAGAAGAAACGCCAGACAAGCGCCGGCGAACCAGAGAAGCACTCGACACTTTGCAGCCACACTTGTTCGTTCTTCTGCCGGTGCAGCACATCTTCACACTTGCCGTGTCGATGCATCTTAGATGCCAAGATTGTTGTTGTGATTCGCCGAAACACTTGGTTGCCCACAACCGGAGACCAGTTGATGACTTCATTTGGCAAGCACACTTTGAGTCGCACCATTTCTTCCTTGTGACCACTGCACACTCACTCACTGTAATCACCAGCACAACATCTTTCTTGAACACTGGCACCCATCTCATCTTACCTCGCCGTAATTGGCTGTAGTGTGAGCAGCAGACAGTGCCACTGAGGACAGCTAATCCGTCACTGTCAGAATTGGGCGACACTAACGAGCCCCTGTTCACTCTTCACTCTTCTTCTGTTCCCTTGTCTCGGCTAAAGTCTGAAGACTAGCATCAGCAGTGCCACTTGGCCATGTACCGCCATGAATCATCGCCCCTTCGAAGTGAGAGTGACACCACTTTCTTCCTCCTTAGTTGAAGTGCCAGCAGTGCCCAATTAATTGGATTCTCTTTCTCTCTGATTCGTTAGCAAGTGCAGCACATATTTCTCACTACTATCAGACTGCACCGCTTTCAGTTCATCTTTGACACTGGTCGGTTCTGCTTGGCCGCCACATCAGCGAGGAAAAGAAGAAGATTCATTGCTGCTGATAACCAATTTTTCTGTTATGTGTTTTTAAATTCTGCTTGCACTTTGTTGTGATCTTTTGTTAAGCTTTATCAACGACTACTTTGATTTGTCTTCATCAACTTACTCCTACTTCGACGATGGCTGCTGCATCAACTGAGGTCAACATCGACGATGAAGAGAGCGACAGTGGAATGGTCGTCGTGCAGTCGCCAGCACCAGTGCCCACCGTTGCTGTCCAACAGGTACCGCAACAAACCGGTAAACATCCAGGGCAGACATCGGTTCGCATTCAAACGAGCAAGCGAAAGCGCAAACCAACACCGCCTCTTCCGGTTGAACTAATTCGACCGCCAGTGCCGATGCACAAGGAAGAAGTAATCGCAAGTATGCCATCTATTTTTTCTAGTTTATTCTATTTCGGAATATTCTCTTTCTTTTTTCGCCGATGATGGCGGCACATCGTGGTAGAAAACTGTAGTGTTTTTCTAAAAGTTCTATTCCGATTCTCAAAGTTGAGAATTGCCATTGCCAATCTTTGAAGTATTGCTCCCGTCGTTGAAGGAGACAGGCGACATAAATTGCAGCAAAGTGTGTGATGAGCTGCTCTTCACGCTTGTCATCTAAAGAGCTCGTTTAGGAAGTTTCGGCAAAACTGTTTTGCCTTATGCAACACTGTCTCTTGTGCAATGTCTAGGGAGAAGACGTTTGCTGTACATTTTGTGTTTGTTAGAAAAGAGAGAGAGAAAACATTGAGGTCAGGTGCTCTTTGAAGCACACAAGGTCAGGCACTGCTACAGTTTTCTCCACTTCTAAACTGTTTCTTTCCGCGCTTATTCTTTTCATATTTTGTCATTTGGCAAATTGCCTGAATTTTGCAGCCTAACAGTACAATTCGCTTCTAATAGTGATGACTTTATTTTACCACAAAAATGAGGAAATAAGTGGATCTAATTGTGGATTCGGAGCTAATGAATTTGTATGTTTAGCTTTTCTTCTCAAATGATTTGTTTGCACTATTGTATTTTGATTCCTTCTTTTGATTTGCTCTTAGTTTGAGATGCTGTTGACACTCGCACACACAGCCAACAACAGGCAGCAATCTTTCTGCACATCTGGGCGCTCACCACCACCAGAATTGTTTATTTATGTTGGCATTTCTGCAGTGTTTGCAAACAGCTTTGGTTTTTAATTGAAAAGTACACAGTCGTTTAGAAATTGAGAAGGAGGAGGAAAGAGGAAAGAGAGAGAAAGAAAGAGAAAGAGAGATGTGTACTACTAGGCTTGGATTGAAACGGTAATTAACCAACTTGGAAGCCAAGTGTGTCCTCGAAAGCATTTTAAAGTTTTTTAATTAGCTAATCTTCAAGTTTTTAGCTCAAAACAGCAACCTCAACCTCAGCAGCAGCAGTGTGGCACTTAAAGCTAGTTGACGAAAGTTGATGTAGTAAAGTGAGCCAGTCGCTGCTGATGCTGATGATGTTTTGGCTGAGAAGAGTGCCTCGGATTGGAATTGCCAATTGGCGGCGACTAAATATAGAGACAGAGAATGGGAAGTGTCGGCTGTTGCTGTGTTCAACGCTGTGTTGATAGATTTCAAATCGCCTTGGCTCACTGGAGATTTGCTGCTGCTGATGTTGCTGCTGCTGTGATGACGAGTGCTGAACAGTGCTCCCAACTGCCACACTTACTGTGCCTTGATGTTGTACTTCAACAACTGACTACGACGACGACGACGGCTACGGAGCCATCGACACAGTCTGTCGTCGTAGGTTGTCCTGGTACACACTCACACTCCCTCACTCCAGCACTCAGATGTGTCTTCTTCATCAGTTGTTATTCGGCGGTGGTGGTAGCTCAGCGAGTCCTCCGCCTCATCAGCCGACGAAGATGGTGGCGGTGGCAACCTCCCATCACCACAGGCTTCTTGGTACTGCACCACTCTTTTCCCTACTGCCTGTCGCTTCTTGCTTCTCCCTACTTCTTCTCTTTGTTATCGTTGGCCAGCATGGCTGGTACTGGGTGCTCTTCCAGTTCAGAGGCAGTCAGTTCTCTATCCGCCGACGCTAAGCCAAGCTAAGCTGTCCCGAAGAGCGACTCTCTGCAGAGTCGCCTGTCGATTGTCGGAAGCGGGAGCAGCCATTCTCTTGCTCACTCCCACTCCTTCTCTCTACCAGTTGATCCGTTGCCATTTTATGTTATTTACTCTGCTAATCGATCGACAGCAGCAGATGCTAACTGCACACTGTGTGCACTGAAACATTGATATTCGGTGTGGCAATGTGGTGATCTGCAGAACACTGATTCTTCGGCAGAAGACAAAATTCAAGCAACTTTGGCTGAAACAGCACCACCGCTAAGTACTGCCCTGATTTATGAACCCCCTTTCAAAATGGTGTTTGTGTGTGTGCCAGTGCCGCCAGTGAACACCCAACTTTGTGATTGGTGATTGATTGTAGTGGTGCTCCTCGGTCAGACTGGTGCCATGTGCTGCACAGACTGCTGTCCTCATCTGCTGCTGTGATATATGATACTACTTGCCTGCCTGGCTGCTTAGTGCTACTGCACTTCTCACGTTGTGCCCAGCAAACAGGGCGGCCATGTCTTCTCTACTACTTCCTCGCCATCTGTCTTCTTCTGCTCTTCTTCTTTTTCTGTCTTCCTAAGGAGAGGAAGATGGCGTACCGAGACTACTCTGAGGAGATACTGCACCGACCGCTGCCAGTGATCGACGCACCGGAGACAAATCCGGAGCTGATTTTTGCCCACCAGCAGCACATTCTCCCTTCAGCTGAAGAAGAAGAAAAGGAACAGCAACAACAGCAACAGCAAAGACAGCTGTTGCCGCATCAACGACCACCAGTACCATCACCAGCTCCTGCACCTCAATCCTCATCCTCATCCACCTCGCACATCCACATCGAGGCCTTCGCCATGGCGGTGGACACCACTGCCCGGCGAGAGCAGTGGAAGGCCAACGTGAACAGTGCCATCTCCGGTAATGCGCAAAACTGCTATTTTTTTATTTCAAAGAATTGCTGCTCGGCTAGCTACCAGCTAGAAAAACACACACAGACACACTTTGACACACAAACAAAAGAGCAGGCCCAAGAGCACCCAATCGGCTAGAGGATAAACTTGACCATCATGTCGTCATTGCGGCGGAAGATGATGCAGTCTTCGAAGGCGGTCAGTCGCTTCAGCTCGTGGCCGAGGACGAGCAGCTCCTTGACGGCGGTCACGTCGCGCACCCACACGCTGATCTTGGTGAAGCAGGAGATGCGCATGGAGAAGACGACGCCGCAGATCAGCTCCATGATGGGCGGCGAGAAGATGGCGCCCACCAGGGCCAGCACTATCTCGTGCCAGACTTGGTCCACCTGCTGGCGGTAGCGCTCCGCCGACTTCTGTATGACGAAGATCCACTGGCCGCCCTTCAGGTTGGCCGGGTCCTCCCACATGGGGGCGATGCCCCGTTTGAACAGCGAGTAGTCCTGGTTGATCTTCGCCACCGAGGGCGCCTGCAGGCCCTGGTAGAAGCGCCAGAAGGCCTCCAGGCTGTCCATCTCCGCGGTGGCGTGCTGGCAGTCCATCCAGTTCTTGGTGGTGCCCTTCGAGCGGCGGTAGTGCCAGAAGACCCACACGTAGCGCAGCGGATGCTGGCTGCGGAGGACGGCTTTGGGAAGGCTTCCCTGGAGACACGTACTCTTGCTGCCACTGCTGCTGCCACGTCGCTTAGCCGTGGAGGACGGGGAAGAGTGGTGGAAAGTGGTGATGGTGGTGACGGTGGTGATCGAGGAGATGATGGAGGAGGCGATGCTGGTGGGGTTGGTGCTTCGACGGACTCGCAGATTCCCTTCCTTTCCTCCCTGTCCTTCAGTCTCGGCAGTCTCTTGCTTTCCATTGAAGGCCATTGCTTGATGCACGCACACAGACGCGTTAAGTTGCTGCTTCGTCAAGGCTTGCGACGACAACGACGCTCAGTGCGTTTCGCCAAGTCATTTAATAAGTCACTCTCTTTGCTGGTCAAATTCTAAATGTTGTTTTTGTTTTCGAACTCTGATGAAAAATTAAAAAAAAAGTTCGAAAGAGGACATCGTCAGCTGATTATGATTCTGGTCAAAGATTCTTTTCTTGACTTTAGCTAACTCTTGATTTTGTTTCTATTTCTCTTTCAGCCACCGTTGGCGAGAATCCCGGACTGTGTGCCTTCCTCTTGACCATTATTTCCGTTGTTCTGATCATTGTGACGCTGCCCTTTTCGATGTTTCTTTGCATTAAGGTAAGTGAGGAAGCCATTGTTGAAGCACCATTTTAACAATTTTGCATTTTAATCCACATTTACAGGTTGTTCAGGAGTACGAACGTGCTGTCATCTTCAGACTAGGCCGTCTGGTGAAGGGCGGCGCCAAGGGACCGGGAATCTTCTTCATAATTCCATGCATTGACAGCTACTGCAAGTGAGTGCTGGGTTTGAAAGTCTTATCTTTGTTCATTCACCCCTCACGTTCTCTCCACTACCCAGAGTCGATCTGCGAACGGTCTCATTTGATGTCCCACCACAGGAGGTTTGCTTGTTTTTTCCCTAAGCAGTCAGACTGTCACGACCACCCAACTAACGCTATCTTCTTGAGACCGTTCAGATTCTGAGTCGAGACAGCGTCACCGTTGCAGTCGACGCCGTCGTCTACTATCGCATCAGCAATGCTACCGTGGCGGTGTCCAATGTGGAGGACTACGGCAGATCGACCCGTCTGCTGGCGGCGACCACCCTGCGAAACGTCCTCGGCACGAAGGACCTCTCACAGATTCTCAGCGAACGAGAGTCGATCTCGCATGTGATGCAGTCCAGTCTCGACGAGGCCACCGATCCCTGGGGCGTCAAGGTCGAACGGGTGGAGATCAAGGACGTCCGTCTGCCCGTGCAGCTGCAGCGGGCCATGGCCGCAGAGGCAGAGGCGGCTCGCGAGGCTCGCGCCAAGGTCATCGCCGCAGAGGGTGAGCAGAGAGCATCGAAGGCGTTGAAGGAGGCCGCCGAGGTGATGACGCACAATCCGGCCGCACTGCAGTTGCGCTACCTGCAGACGCTGAGCTCCATTGCCGGCGAGAAGAACTCCACCATCGTCTTCCCGGTTCGTAGTCATATGAGACACTGTTCATGTTCTTTCAGTTCTTGACGTTTTTTTCTGTGTTTACAGATTCCAATGGAGCTATTCAGATCAGTTCTGAAGCCTGAGCGAACGGCAACACCGCAGCCGCCGCCGCCCCCTCCGCAATCGATGGCATAGACCGTTTCAGCCGTTACACTTATCCACTTTACTCTCTGTTTGTCTTCAATCATTTGTTCTGTTTTAATTATCAGCAAAAAATAAATCACGCATACCAGGGAAATCTGAAACTCCGGTTTTTACAAATCATTTTAAACTGCGTTTGTGAATGACCCCACTCACGAAAAAAATCGTAAAACTGCTTACGATGACGACACTGCTTCACAGTTTGGTGACTGGCATTTAGCGAGTGTCTCGCGTTGCTTCTCGTCGTAGTCCAACTTTTGATGATCACTCTTCTCGTTCTGGCGACACCAGCCCAAGGACTCTCTCAAGCGCAAGAAGATGTCGAAGCTCAACTCGGAAAATGTTTTCTACTACACGAAGATGAAGCCCAATGAAATCTACTCGGCTGCCGATGTCTATCTCAGCGGTCGCTCTCCCGATAGTAGCCTCGAGGACATTTACTACCAGCATGTCCGACCTTCGGAAACTAAAGTTCAAAAGCCAGCAGATGATCAAGAGGACCCAGTATTTGACTTATTGATGAAATATGATGAGAGTACTTTCATTGAAGAAGCCTCAACTTCAGAGCGATCCTCACACACTTTGGCCAATGACGCTGCAAAAATTATGTCTACTTCAACTTCATCTCCTCCACGCATTTGCAACAAGAATTTTACTTTGCCAAAATCTGAAATTGAATTACAATTTTCAAACGTTTTGGTGAAGTTGGGCGAGGTAGGTTTTATATACTCTGCATGATATTTAAATAGTTTTATTTCATATTAGATCATCAATCCATGTAACTTCTATCTGGTTTTCGATGAAAACGACGATAAATACCAAGATCTTAAGCAAAAGATGAAGGAATTCTACGAGAAAAACCCTTATCCACTTCCAATCTGCAGTGAACACCTTTATGCGACTAAACTGGAAAATACACAAGAATGGGAGCGAGTGAAGATTGTGAGCAATGTTGACAAGTTTTACTGCTGCTACTTTGTCGACAAAGGAGTGACCAATTTCATACCAGATGAAAAGCTATTTTTGTTGGATGACCAATTCAAGCTGCTGCCTCCGCGCTCAACCAAGGCCTCTCTGTTTGGTATGCCGTTGCTTCTAAACAATAGTTTTATTTACAGTTAATCATTTACAGGTTTCAACAACACAAAATGGTCGGCTCAAAGCATCAATCTATTCAAAATACTGGCTGCAAAATCAACCCTTAATGCCCTTATAACTGAAGTAGTAGACGGAATTGCACAGACTCTTCTAGTTAGTGACACTGCAAACATCAACGAAGAAATGAAGAAGTTTATAAACGCAGAAGTTTCTACCAACTGAAAAGTTTCACGATTCTTTCATTTCAAATGTTCTTTTTGATAAACTTGTCTACTCGTTAGTAAGACAACTCTGTTAAACAACATACGATGCACGGAGTTCTACGTAATAAAAATATTCTTTGGTGTTACAAGGTGCTGGGATTCTTTTTATGAACAAGAATTCATTAGCGCGAGTCATTGTTGCAAATCAGAGAGAGAGCTACGAGAGGGCAGCACTAGTAGTTCAGTGAGCAGGTTTTTTGCAAACAAAACACAGTTCTCGGGCTCTCACAAATCTCAAAGAGCTCACCATTTTGCAGAGTATTCCATCACGTGCTCCTCAATCTGGATGCGAAATCATGTTTCACAATCCCGCCGCCTTACCTTTGCCGGAAAAGGGTGTAATGCACCCGGTCCACATCACTAAAGTGATCTCCTTGGAGAAGATTTGCTTTCGTTTGCTTGACAAGAAGGTTTGTTCTTTTGTTGTTCTGTGCTGTTTTTTGTGTTTTATAAACTTCTTTTCAGGAAGATTACGTGAACTTGGTTAAAGAACTGCAGCGTTATTACGCCGAAAAAGTGTCTCCTTCCATTGAAAATTTCCCAGAAGATACTGTAAATGGTCGTTTCTTTATTTTTAAACGCGATGGTTTGTACCATCGAGTGACGGTTATCAAAGCTTGGCCGAACAAAACTGTAATACTTTTTTTGTTTTTTGTCTTAACTTTTTACAATGCTTTATTCTTTTTTAGTACCATGTCAATCTTATTGACGAAGGATTCAACTGCATTGCTAGAGAGAAGGATTTGATCTTGAACACTACTGACAGATTTGTAAAGTACCCCGCTCAAGCATTCGCTCTGCCACTTCAAATTGACCAGTTGTTAGTCATGAACAAAGAGTTTATGATCAACTATGGTCTTCAAAAGATGTCCAATACTAAGACAGACTTTTACGCTGCAATAACATACGAAGATAAACTACAGCTCTACTTCAAAGATCAAAATCAAGGCATAGTGTCTGTTAACGATTTCTTGACTGAGTTTCTCAAAAAATCAGTGGTTTAACCAGACGACACTGTAAACGACGTTTTCAGTAACAGTTAGCTCAAAAATTCATTACTGCTCGTATTTGGTACCTGTTTAAATGGAGTCGTTTCTAAAACTTCTGATTCACACCGATGAAAAATGTTCATATAAAAGACGCTCAATTTCATTTTCCCACATTGTAGTCTTCATTGGCACTTGAATTTCCAGGCAATTGTGTTCGATTCGCCAATGATGACAGATTTACGGCGTCAGCGGTGAGTGAGTTTCGGGCCATTTGGCGTGCCACTTGATTACAGCTATTCAAAAAATGCTGGGAAGAGTACACATGTTCTGCTCACCGAGTTGTGGCCACTTTGCTTCAATGATCGGCAATACCACCACCACCTGATGATGTTATATGTTGTACCTGTTGCACTGTGTGATTGTGGAAATACCGAAGCTAAGAATGGAAGTGAAGCGAAGTGTTTTTGCCGTCTTCGACGAGCTGGTGCTCATCATGGCACCACCACCACCTGTTCACCTGTGTACATGTGTGAATTAGCGGTGTCCCTCGACTTTGACTTGGCTTGACTCTGCTTATTGCAGACTACAGCTTCTTCATCGTCATTCATCCTTCTCCTCCTTCTCCGTTTTCTCCTGTTCACAAGAAGAGAGTTTCCCTTTCCTCGCCGAGAGTTTGCAGCAAACGGCAACTTGCTTGTTGCTTCCAAGTGACTGCTGCCTGACTGCTTCGATGCCGCCGTCAGGTCGTCTGTTAGCGGCAGTTGCTTTTTGCAGTTGATGGAGAGCGAATGGAGTGTCGGGAGTGCTCCTGCTGCTAATACTGCTTCTCACCCATATTTAATCTTGAAGCTGTGCTGGATCACCTACCCTTACCTGGCTTTGGGTTACCTCACTAATTAGTGCTCGCAGTAATGAGTGCCACCGCCTGTTTGTAACTGTGATTTGATAGTCTACTTTGAAGTTCGATGCCATATTCTGCCATTTTCATTTGTTCTCTACTGCCACCGTCGCCGTTTATTTTCACTTGCGGAAAAGCTTACCTAATTCGTTTTAACTTACGAATTTAATTGCATCACCTTTCTAAGTTTATCGCCATCTTGATAGTGTGCATGTGTGTGTTTTTCCTTTTCTTCACTGTGAACACAGGATGATTTACCTGAACAACACCGCGACACCATCACTTCCTTCAACTGCTTTCTCACGCAAACAAATTAACTTGTTGTTTTGGCTTTGTTACCAAAATTAGCCGACAGAGTAATCTCACCGTATTTGCATTTATACGCCTGTGAATATCACCTCTTCTTCTTATGCCGTAATCACAATCATTGTCCTCTAATGATTCTCTGACAGCAGCAGCAAAAACATTTTTGGACACTTTCCTGCAAAAGACTTTCATTTTCACTTGGTCACTTTCAGTTTATCCTTCGACTGTTCTTCTTGAGCTTATCATCTCCACGTCTCCACTGGACTCACTTAGCATTCCACCACCACCACTTCTACTTTACATTGGGCCATTGTGTCCTTCTCTTCTTCTCGTCGGTATAATCACCGCTAATTGGACAAATAACTGTTGCCTCTGCTTTTTGCTGCACCGTCTTCTGTGTGGTGTGTCGTCGTCCTTTCTTGCCGCTGCGACAACTTCAAAGGCAAATAGAAAGACAACGTTCAAACACACACACACACACACGTTGCACTCCTCGCTCGTTTGAGCAGCAGTAGAAGCAGAAGAAGAAGAATTAAGCAGCAACAGGCTTGTCGAAGATTGCCACCACCGCCACCACCAGTGCTGTCACTAAGTTGTAAGCATCGACAAGTTGTGCACTTCATCTTCATCTTAAGCGTCAGCATCTTCAAAGTCAAAGTCGTGCTGTACTGCGGCTGCTGCTGCTGATGCTGTTTGGCCGTCATCGTNAACACGTTGCACTCCTCGCTCGTTTGAGCAGCAGTAGAAGCAGAAGAAGAATTAAGATGCAGTAACAGGCTTGTCGAAGATTGCCACCACTGCCGCCACCAGTGCTGTCACTAAGTTGTAAGCATCGACAAGTTGTGCACTTCATCTTCATCTTAAGCGTCAGCATCTTCAAAGTCAAAGTCGTGCTGTACTGCGGCTGCTGCTGCTGATGCTGTTTGGCCGTCATCGTCTGCACTTTTCAAACACCAAACACCGAGTTTTTCCCTTTCTAGGCAGTTTGCTCATTTACTGCCAATTTGGACCGAAGTAGAAGAAGAAGTCTCAGTCGCGGCCAAACCAAAGACAGTTTTGCCAGTTCCGCACGTTTCACTTTCCCCACTGCCTCCTCTCTCATCTGCAGAGTGTGACCTTTGGCGTCGAATGTCGACTGACTGCGTGGACTGCTGGCGACTGAGCAGCTGTGTCTTCTGAATGGCCATACTCAGTGTTCATATTAACTACACACATAAAGTGAAAGCTGCTGCTGCTGCTGTGAAGTCGTGGAACCTCGTGGCTGCTGCTGCTGCTCTTTCGCTCAACTCTCCCACTGCCATGACACAACACTCACTCACATCTTCTTCTTCTTATCGAGTCTGCTAATTAAAACGACCNCTCAGTCGCGGCCAAACCAAAGACAGTTTTGCCAGTTCCGCACGTTTCACTTTCCCCACTGTCTCCTCTCTCATCTGCAGA